CAGGAATCCAGCCCTTCCCAACGCTTTCTGGGTGTTTTTAGTGCTTTCACAACCCAATAATGAATTCATTAAATTAGTATTATCCAACGTGCATAATCTGGAGGAACTGGATACCAAATGAAAACATCAAATACCTTTAGCTTTCAATGAAAACTACATAAAAGCATTTCAGGCATGGCTTTGGCTATCACTTCCAGCCACTATGAATACTGCTGGAAAAGCTATTTTCGTGCAGATGTGGAATTCAATGGGAAAGACTGACTCGTGTAGCAACATCAATCAAAACGTCGGCTCCACTGGCAGCTCTCGACAGTAAGGCAGGTTCAAAGGTCACAGGATAAAGAAAAAGCCAAGCTCTGGTTCAGCTCTAATATCTCCTCGCTAGAAGTCTTGCAAAGGTACCTACCCCCCTTCTGTACCAGGCGGCTTTCATTAATCTTCTTGCCATCTTTTTTAACTAGTCATGCAGAACCGCTCGATAGCGAGACACATAATGGGGAGGCCCTGTGCCTATTACCAGGTTAACACTCTGTTAAGCCCCAGTGCAACAATGGAATAAGAATTTAAAGGAAATCTTAAGCTGCAGGGTGCAAAGCAGGCAATTAAATTACAAACTGAAGTTACCAATGTACTCGGTGACCTACAGAACACCTTTGTTTAGACTGCCTTAACATTAAGGATATTTTGACCTAGCAATTGAGATGTATCTGCTTTATTAAAACAAAACAAAAAGAAGGCAGAAAAAGCATGACAGAGAATGCTTCTTCTAGTGTTTCAAGTAAATTATCAAATAAATCTGATTTCTGCAGCTGTGAACAGAAGAAAAAGCTGGAAGTCTGCCCAACCGCTCAGGCTCTGTGCCCCCGAAAGGGGCTGCCCGGAGCTCTCCGGCACCGGCTCCGCGGTGCGGATGGTGCTGAGGTGGCCGGGCAGCCCCAGCCCTCGGAAGGGACACATCCATCACAGCCACACTCGGTCCGCAGTGCACTTTGTAAAAGGCAGCGGTCAGTGACACTGAAGTCTCTCCCTTGTCCAAGTAATGTAAGAGACATTAACAGAATCAGATTTCCTTTAAATTACACTATTGCAAAGGGATATAATCGTATTAAACGTATTATGTTGCTTCCTTAAGACTTTATATTATGTACACTTAATTGAGATACAAAGCTCTTTTCAGCTATAAAAATGACAACTACTTTATTAAGGCTTAAATCTTATTTCTCAATGATAGGATGCTTCCTTTCAAGATTCAAAACATTCAGAATCTTTCGTGATAATCAGACCCAACCTGATTTAAACAAGCCGTTTATACACAGTGTCTTCAGGTTCTAATGGCATTTGATCGAGCCAGCAGGGCCATTACCTCTTCCCTCTGTCTAAATTCAGGGAGTCTGATTTAATTTACAAATAAAAATTCAAACACTGACCCAGGCCTACTACAAGGGCAAACAAAAATCATCAGCCATTCCTGCCCACCATACCCACGCTAATGGCACATCAGATGCCAAAGCTTTCCATTTCCATTTTCTCTTTGCACTGCAGGCAGCTCTGAGTTCTGCAAACTCACAGCACAGGAAAGCTTCAGCCCTGGCCAGAAGGACTCCGAGTCCGGCTGTAAATATTCACAACACATCATCCCTGAGGCTGTTGAGTCCTTTAACCCTCACACAAGCGCTTCGCTGCAGGAACCTGTCTTTTCAGGGAAAACTAACAGAAAATACGCACAAGGCTCTCTATTATATTTATACACAATTTCAACATGTACAATTCTGCAGAGAAGTACCAGAAAAAACTCCAAAATCTCTTTAATCTGCAGAAAGTAAGAGCTAACTGAATATTAAACTGTGTTAATTGCCACCTTCAGAGGAACTACCGTTGCAGAAACTCCCAGCTATACTGATCACAGCAACCCAACCACTGCCAACACCCCCTGCCCTCGCTAAAAACTGAGGAGGTGGCAGCTGGAGGCTCCTGCAAACCCTTCACCTCTCGAAGTCAGTCGAGCAAAGCAGCACTCAACTAACCCCGGGTGTCGGTGTCGAGGGAAAGCAGGCAGCTTCATAAAACACAGCCCGTGTTTTCACCCGGGGTGAGCGCACCAGCGCCGTTACGTGCGCGGAACGCTTCTGAAAGACGAGCTGGATGGAGCATGTTTTGTGTTACAAGAGATAAAAACATGAAAACAAAATATATTGCAGGACTCAAAGACCTTATCTTTACTCAGCCTCTCTTTCTTTGCAATAATTCATTCAAGGAAGATTCGGGAATAATTTTTGATGTAAACTTTGCTACAAACATATATCACTACGCTGATAAAAATCGCAGCCAAAACTTGTGAAATACAGCGCGTCTCATTCCTTTATGCTACTAAAATAACTTTTTTACATTTAAAATTCAAGAGATACTGATCTGCTGTTAAGAGTTCCTCAAAATGTATCACTCTGAGATGTCACTGTAAAAGTCTCTTCTGCTGGTCTAAAATAGTAACTTTTGGAACATCTTTAGTGAACGGGGAAGAGGTCAGCAGATTTCAGGAGGAATTATTTTCTCCTTTTGGAACTAGGCTGAAGGCTGGTCATTAGGGAAGTCTCTCCTTGGGATCACGCCTTCCCAAGGACCATGAAATCTTGCTGGAGACAGAAAAGGAAGACAATGACTGGACTAAGAACATAGAAGTAGGAAGGGGTAATGAAGGGGAGAAGGATATAGTTCAATAATTGCTGATAAAATCTGTGGCAGCCATAAATTTACTCTTCCAAGAGAATTCAACAGATCATTACCTCTGTAAATATGTATCACATAATTCTCCCTCTCTGTCACCTTGCAGATAAGTACTTAATACTTTAGCATCCCTACCCTGCAAAAGCACAAGCCTAATAAAACCCATCTAAGCTTTTGAACCGCAGTTACTTTTCGATAGTAGATAGTCACATTTTGGCACCAGCGGGAGACATTGCCCAGTTCCCCCAGGGCCTATCTTGTGCTTTTTAAAACAAATTTTACAGATACAGACTCTCATTATTCCACTGATAACAACAAGCAAAAGCACTGGGCTTTTGAAGTCGTGCTCTGAACGTACCAAACCGTGACCTCTTGTTGATGACCAGCTGGACTGGGGTGCCCAGCCCGTCCTCCAGCCAGCTCAGCTATCGCTGCCGGCCAGGCACGGCCACTGCTTCCCCGACACTGAACTCGCAGAGGGGCACGTTGTAATCCCAGTGACCCTGCAGCCACGGCTGAAGCAAATTTAGACTGTGCTGGAACTTACTGTATGTCTCAGGTCCTCAGCTGCACCTAAGAAATTGTTTAAAACCAGTCTGGATGTTAAGAAGTTAAAAAAAAAATTGCAATTATGTTGAAATATATATTTGAGTACCGTGCTATGGGGCTAGAGACCAGCAAAGCCAGCCCTTCCTTGGTGTGACCCTGCCAGCAGCTACTGACAGTGAGCAAGAAACACTTAATGATGCCATTAGCTGTAAGCAGCATTATAAGAACGCTCACAAAATGTGTAGCTGTTTACGTTGCGTTCCCTACAACAGAATCGGGTCAGATTAAAAACATCCTATAATGAATAAAATACACCTAGAGAAAGAAAAGGACATGGTAGCAATAATTCTTTGGACATCTAGCACATAGAGGGAGTGAGAAAAGAGAGGACATAAATAAAAAGGACTACTCACTTGGGCTTTTTTCTTCCGCAAGGTCACAGGCACAGAGGAGTTCAGAATCGATTGAAATGGGTTTCTGCTTAATCCAAAACTTAGTGCTGGCCTTCTGATTAGTAACAGGGTCTATCTCTACCTTGTCTCCAGAAATACCTGAGACGAGAAAGAATAGAGAACATACCAGTGATCAGTTTAAGTGATTTCATATCAACCGTTTGACACAGTTTATAAATCTTAAATGGGATGAAAGGATATTGCCCTTTGGGGCTTTTTTGAAAGCACAGGAGCTTTTGAAACCAAAAGCAAATGGTTATCAAACTGCATTGATAATCTGCATTTTATTCTCCTGCAGAAGCAACACCAACGAGGAGGAAATATCACAGAAAAAATTCTTCTCAACACATACAGAGCTCTTCTGGAAGCAGTGGCTACACGAGCTGCGAGATTCATAAAAAGATACTGGTAGTTTTTCAGTCAGCAGTGTTATATGTAATAGACGCTAAGGCTCACCGTCCCTCTGCTGTCCCCTCCATAGCAGACACCTCTGTCCTCTGGGCGAGGGGACAACACCCGTTCCCAACGTTACAGAAACGCTCTTTGTGTTACCCACATACTCATAAACAAAGACAGCCAGTCCCAGAGATCCTCGGTGGGTTTTTTTTTTTTACACTGCTGGCATTTTAAAGCCAGCTCTAATTAGGCTGCTCTGAAAGCAAGCTGAGGATTCGTGTCGCTCCTGGCACGGGCACCGGGCCCCGCTTCCCAACACGGGCTTCCCCAGATGGCTGGTGCTTCGCTGCGGCCGACCCGGGTCCGGGTGAGCCGGAGGAGAAAATGCTCTGGCACCATCCACACCTTACTCCTGGTGCCATGCAAGAGCAGCCGCTCCCGAGGGTGGCTGCCGGGGCAGGATGGGGGCTCATGGTGCTGGAACCGGCCCGGGACGCTGGCCGTGATTTATCGTGGTCTTTATCACAGCATCGCGAAGCAAAACCCCGCGACGCTGCAACTGATGAACAGGAGATCATTGTTCAGGAGCTGTTGACATGACTGAATAAACTTCCCAGTGTGCTTTTTACATCAAGACGTGTGGAGCCTTAAAAATAATTACATTTCTCAAGTCATGAGTTATAGGTGAAGCTCACGAGAGAGCCACAAAAGGAAGCAATACAGGAAAAAAAAAGGTATTTAAACATCATTGAACTCTTGTGTCTCTGGAAAAACAGCAGAGAACCTTTTTGCTCTTGAGGGTCTTGGCTATGACGCTTTCAAATACATTATGCTTGGCTCGTCTGAAGCACAAGAAAACCTAAAGGAGCTGATGATAAAACTTTTGAGAGATGTGACAAAATAAGATGCCACACACACACACACACACACACACACACGACGACCCTCCCAAGCCCTCCATAATTAACTCAATATCTCTTAAAGTCTGGCTCACAGCTGCAGAATTTGCAAACCACGTTTGTTTGTATTTTATGCGACTCTACAAAGCTCAGAGCCACGGCAGGTTCTCTGCTGCAGTCCCCTCCGCTCCTCCAAGGTTACCTTCCTTTACATCCCGGCTGCTATGAGCAGATACAGTAACACCACCAACCCCCACCCCCCTCCGATTAATCCAAGAATGCTCTTTGTCATTAAACATACGTCACATCAGAGACATCACATTTCAATTAAGCATTGTATCAAGAGTCCAATTAACACAAGGATGCTGGAACTAGGTAACGTGAGCAGGCTGACGCTGTATCCGGAGCCCATTTTGGTTTGTAATTTAATTTTGGACAGATTATTTAAAAGCGGCGTTGTTATTTCACTGTAGTGGTTAATTATTCAAAACGATATTTTCTGTAGTTTATGGACAATCTGTGTAGTTGATGGTACAAGTTCTTATTTTCTCACTGAAAAAAATTGAAGGCAGGTTGTAAAAAGAAAGGTGCAAATTCTTTGTGTGCGAGGGTGGCCCCTCATCCCTTCCTCTAAAAACGTCACCCTTGAAAATATCCTTAAAAAATTTGCACTCTATGGTCCTGCAACTTCAGAATTCACAGTCAGTCAATATTGTTAATGCACCTTGTTAATTTGATAGGATTTGTCAGGTAACTCCACTGGAAAATTATATAAAACTGTTCCAGATGAACAGATGATAGTGACATGAATTAAAGTGATAGAACAATAGTGGAATATAAACCAGAAATGACACCCAAAGTGGCTGTTGATTTATTGCCATCCTGAGTTTGGTTCTGGGCTTCCATGTATATTAGTGCTACAAATCTGGGTCCATTTAGCAGAGATATGCTCATACATACATCACCAGCTCCTGCTCCAAGCCAAGGTCACTCCCCATTGCATCAATCTTTTCAGCAGAGGCTACTTCACCAAGCATGGATTTTTGCAACCATCTCAGATGTAACAGACTTCCTCCTCTTTCATCTTTTTTTTATCATGTAAAATACACTTTAACTTCTATTATTTTTATCTGCAAATTGTTGCTGTATACTTCATCCATTATTTCTGTATCTCGACATCACTGGCTTAAGCTCACACACATCCAAAGAGCACATTGACAAAGAATGTTGTCTTTTTTTTGTGTTATTGTTCTCACAATCTGTAAGTGTTGAAACCTAAAATCAAAACAGTATTATGTATGCGGCTTCTGCAGTCCCTGGATCGCAGCACAAATTAGTCATACTCAAAAAACAAGTGAAAATGCTTCTTTCACTGTTTTTTTTTTTAATTCATTCATTTTATCAAAAGAAATGTCATCGATGTATTAGTCCAGTAACACTGTTCTGTTCTTGCTTCCTTTGTTGGGGTCTGCAACTGCCCCCCCTTTTCTGAAACACTTCCCAGCAGTAATTTTCCAGGACAATATGCTTCTTTGAGTTTTGCTAACGTGATACACAAGCAAACGTGTCTTAATCCTTCACACCATGATAAAACCTTTGTAAAAAGGTCGAGTGCTCCTGCATGTGCATTACACTGTAATATAGAATCACAGAATGGTTTGGGTTGGAAGGGACCTTAAAGCTCATCCAGCAGCAGGGACACCTTCCACTAGACCAGGTTGCTCAAAGCCTCATCCAGCCTGGCCTTCAACACTTCCAGGGAGGGGGCATCTACAACTTCCTTGGGCAACCTGGGACACTGTCTCACCACCCTCACAGTGAAGAACTTCTTCCTAATATCTAATCTAAACCTCCCCTCTTTCAGCTTAAACCCATTTCCCGTTGTTCTGTCACTAACTGCCCTTATGAAAAGTCCCTCCCCAGCTTTCTTGAGCTAAAACATAAAACCTTGGACCTTAAACTGCTACAGGTAAAGCTTTGCACCGTAACAAAACCATCAGTCCAAAGGTGGTCGTTCCTCCCGTGGTCATTTACAAACTATGCACAACCTACAGAAGATCGAGCTGACTCCACTATTTTCAGTAAACCTTGCCTCAAACTCAACCATCAGGCCTCAAAACAGCTAAAAACACTTCCAGAAGCACCAGGATGCAAACAGTGATTGACCAACACAGCTCACACTGTCGCTACCTGCAGCTGAAATAAAAATCCAGCACAGAACCTGTTCAAATGAAATGACGTGGGCGTCCTACAACGTCGGTGCAAAGGGCAAGGAGTGGAGATGGTGTTTTCTCCACCACTTCTGGGTTCTGTCACATGGAAACACCCTTCATGTGTGAAGCCTGGAAAGTGGGATTCACCCCCAAAAACCAGCCGGGTATTTTCAGTGCAAGCACTGTCCTGTATTTCCCCTCCTGCACAGCCACCACATCATCGACGCTGTCAGTAAGGAGCAGAGCAATGGTTTGGATTCTCGGTGTCCTCTAGAAAAACTGTCACTTCCCTATGGCTGCTACATACGAGTTGATGACATAAAAATGCTACAGAGAAACTTTGCAACTGGCTGTCATTAAACTGACACAGAATAGTTCCCAAACCACACGTACTGATGAGTGATGAAAAAAAATTAGACATGTTTTTTTTACATTTTGGATGGTATGGAGCAGTCTGTCACCTGCAGAAGATGAACACATTAACACTCAGCAGCCCTAATCCAAATAGCCCCTCAATGCTTATCTTACCTCCTCTTTTAATATCTTAAAATTCAGGAGATACCCCAGCGACACACACTTATTTTGACTTTATTTATAAGTTTGGATGCTGTACGTTTTACCCAAACTTTGAATACAGCACTGGGGTTTTCTCTGATTTTTAAAAAGTAATTTGATTATAAAAATCACGTTGTCAGCGTACTGCCATCAGAAACATACAGGTTCACAGATTGTTATAAAAGGGAAATTTTATGGTCCTTACACTACCGGACAGGGTCAGTTCCCTCACTGCTACACAAGTTAAGCCATTTGTTTCAGTTAACAGCTATTCTCCCTTAACCATTTATCTTTAGTGATCTGTCATGACCTTTTCAAGCTCTCATTTCTGACACTTCCCAGATACAGTGAGTCAAACTTCACTGGAAGCAAACTATCACACCCAGATAGTTTGCTCAAAAGCAGAAAACATGCCCAGCGCCGTCCTGCTTCAGCACCAGCAGATAAATCCTTCCTTAACAAGACAGCTCCAAATAAACTAAGGAAGCCTCTTCTGGAAAAATTTGAGATGCTTATTTTTATATTTGCTTAAAGATGGAAGAACGAAGAGACCACAGTGACAATAACACAGGTACTGGTATAGTTTAAATTTAACAATTGTACTGAATTCTACAGAATAAATGTATTTGGTAAACATTACTATTTTACACTGCTGAATCATTTCTTTATGGAAGGTATTTGCAGGAATGTCACAGGTCACCTACCGATGCATCATTAATCAAATTTTCACAATTCAAACACAAAGATAAAAAGCCATTCAATCATTTTAAAACAGTAATGGGGCTTTTATAATTCAAGATTCTGTCATCCCTTGGCCTTCGGTTTTTCAAAAGCATTCAGAAAACAAGTAAGGACAACATAAAACCTTTAGAGAATGCTAGTTTTATTTTGTTCCACCTCAAATTTCCACTTGGTCACTAAAATCTTTCAGTCTCAGAAAAGGAAAAACCTAATCATTCCTAATTTTGCACAGCCTCGTTTAAAAATAACAAAACAGTTGGCAAAAAGCTTTCCATTAGGAAGCCTACATTAAAAAAAAAGAGATGAGGTCATTAAATAATGGCCTTCTTTCAGAAGAAACATGTGCTAGCTGATGGTGGATAATAAAAATACTGAAGTATTTTCAACCAAAAGCAATTTTTTTTAACTGCTGAAATGCTAGCAACGCTTTCAAGTGACGTGCTCCACGATAAAATGGACCAACACGATAATGACTGCTTTAAAAACGTCTGAGATGGACAGTTGGCTATTAGAGATGGCCAAAGGTTTGCACCGTTCCATTTCCCTAAGTGTTATAGCACGGATTGATTTACCTAACTGAACATCAGTGGTGAATCGAAGCCTATGGATCATGCTGACTTTGAAGGACTTGTAGTGGTGGCTACTGAGCATGTCTTGAACTGTGGCTATATCGATCTGAGGGTCCTCCTCCGAGACCTCTTCTCCTCTTGAACCTGCAAAACAAGGCAACAGTAATGAAGGAGAGGTTTCAAACACAGCATCCGACTCAGCTAGCACACAGGTACGGCTGCAACGGCTGCAGGGGCAGAGGGCTTCTTAAGAAAGAGCAAAATGCTCGAGTCCGTGTCTCTGGGAGGAGGAAATTCTCACCCTCCATCCAAAGACAAAACTGCTAATTCATTCCAGACATCACGATGCACATTTGTGTCCCACATCCCAGCTGCGGATGCTCAGGTGACACAGACACCCCTGGACCGCTGACATCCCCGGGGACTGAGCTGGTGGGGTCCCTGCCAGGACACCCACAACCCATCACCCTGGGAAGGAGCCTGGTGAAGGGGGGACCTGTCCCCAGCCAGGGCAGGTGCCACCCTCAACATAGGCACTGGCACAGCTCTCCTGTGTTTCAGCATCTCCTCACGTGGGATGTGACACTTCAGCATCCCCCCATGTGGGACGTGACACCGGCATCGTGCTGCAGCGTGGGCAACACCTCGGGCACCCTGATCTCAGCCCTGCGGCAATGGAGCTGAGCTTTATTTACTGATTAGTATTCTCATTACTGCTGCAGGTACCGGCTTTATAAAAGGTAACATCTCATTAAGCCAAAATGCCAATTACTGAAAAAATATAACGCACTTTAAAGATTTTTTTTACATTTTATGACGTTGGATTAACACCAATTTAAACATTACTATAATGCGATATATAATTTTGTGCAGAGTAATTTCTACGCCAGCTGCTAATAAAGCATCTCAGCTCTAAAGGATCATTCAGATGCTGTTAGATAAAGTGGTATAAATATGTTTGAAAACTGATTTAGCTTCTTACAGAAGATACCGAAAAATGACACGTTTTGTTTAATATCCCAGCTAATGTAGTCCTAAAAGCTGAATCAACTGCCAGTTCCGAGTACTAAATTTGCTGCAGGAGATTAATGAAAACTTTAGATTTTGCTGAAATTTTAATAATGGGAAGATGAGATGATGGAATTTTAGTACAGGTCTTAAAGATCCAGCAAAGCAGGCTAAAAACTTGTCAGATTTTTTGGTATTAATTTTGTTCGAGACTGGCACAGTTGGAGCAGCCTCGAGACTAATGCTTCCCACACTGACCTTTCCCTTGGGGCATGCACGTTCCCATCCCATTCAGCTCCTAGGGAAGCTGGGACACGTGTCCATGTTTGCGACACACGGGGATGGTTTGCCAGGAACAGTCACGGCTCCAGGGAGAGGAAATCCCTGGCACTTGTCTCAGACACACATTGGTGATGCAGAAGCAGGCTCCTTTGTAACGGGGTAAATAGGAGCTGCAGAAGTACCTGCCCTTTGCTTCCCAAGGGAAACTGTTGGGTGGTGGCCACAAGCAGGACAAACATTGGTGAGAGAGAAGAAACACCTCACCTGAGCAGGGAGCGTTTTTCCTGCTGGCTGAAGGCGTTGCCTTTTCTAGCCTCTAATTCAGTAACAAACATCACTGCTTATCCTAAGTATCTTTCAGGTCTGTATCAAAGCAAGGTTAGCATCTGCTGTTAAATGAGTCAAAATACATGTTGAGAGCATAAAGGAGGAGATTCACATTTCACAGACGTCAGTCACCCAAGCTTTCCACCCTGCTCACCGCAGAGCAGGCGAGAGCGATGCCCACCCCTTGCTGCTCGTACCACAGCCTCCCGACACGCGCCTGGGGACCCTTCCCTGGGGAGAGGGGACAGCAAAGGGTTAAGCTACAAATTGGGCTGTGACATTCGACTTGAAAGAATTCAAAAAAATCAAATGAAACAGTCTTCACGTGAATTTATGCAGAGCCATCTTAACATCACAACCACTCTATGCTCCAGAATGACAAGATAAATTGTAATGGCTCCTTCAGAGACATTACAATGTATTTTGTCAAAGACCCCTGTGTTAATGTCTCCATACTATGGATTATCATAATGTATCATGTCAAACCCTCATGCTGCAGTACTTCAAAGATACACTGAGATACGTCAAACTTTTTGGTGCACTTAAAAGCATCTTGAAACACCACGGCACGGCGGTGCCTGGAAGCAAAGCAGGAGGATGGCAACGGCACCGCTGCCCTGCGGCCGAGAGCAAACTGGGACCCTCTTCCCCTGATGGAAACCAGTGAAATGCCCGTTCAGCAGTTCCTGGTCGTGCAACCAGGTCCATCCCCATGGTCACAACGGCATGTCGTGCTGGGGTATGTAATAATACAAAGAAATAACACAAAGAACGGCAAGCTATTAACCTTGTCCCCACACCTCCTGCAAAACGTTCCTGAAACTCCTCACAAGCTCAAGGCTCACAGGTCACTCTGCAGGTGCTGCTGCTGCCTTTGCCTTCCTCCTCCCCACCTGGCCTCACATCTCCCCAACCTCACCGAGTCACCGGCAAAGCAGGGACACTACGTGTCGGTTTTACACAATTATTACCAAGCTAAGCACTCCCAGATTTCACACACCTAAATTAAAAGTATCAGAAAGAAAATTAGCAGCCTGCCAGGTCAGATCCAGGGGAAAAAACTGCCACTGTAACTAAAATCATGAGCACGTTGTCAGGGTCTAAACTGCAGGAGCATTAACAGCTGCAGCCGAACAGAGGGATTTTGCTCTGGAAACCTTTCAGATCCTCCACGTACCCGTAACCTCCGCCGACTTTGCTTTATGAAGCTTTGTGAATGGATTCAGGTTTACAGAATTTCTACAGTTGCTGCTCTTGGGAGAGCAGCCAGGAACTCCACCATCAAAACAGATCATCAGTCTGAAGATGGCAAGACACGGGGACCCCTGAGGGTGCACTGGATAATAGCAGTAATATCAGTAACAACAGAGAGAAATGCCCTGCAGGGAAAAACCTGACTGCAGAACTTGGCACGCTGCTCTCGCCCCGCAGCTCTGCGCGGATGTCTGCGAGACTGCCGGCGTTCAGCAGCAGAGGGAAGAGCCATCTCCACCAGCTGATTGGGGGGAAAAAAGCATAAAAATATTTTCCACATGCAAGCAGCTGTGAATAAACCTGTCAAATATTTACAGGCCTGTCAGGGTATTTGTAATGGAGATCACAGCGTGGCTTTTGAATGTAAAAGCTTCTGCTGGGGAAGACAATCAAGTAAAGTGGATGCTCCAGGTCCATTATTTAGCCCAAGAGCCGACCCAGCAATAGGTGGTGTAGAGAGACCACTCCTTGGAGGAACAGATTCCTATTCCAGAAACAAACTCCTTCACGTAATGACAGGGAGACTCAGTTTGCAATGACCTCTGCATTTTTTCCCTTATAGTCTACCTAATCAAAGACAACTCACTTTGTGAAAGACAAAGAGAAAAAAGCTGGAGTCAGGTGTGGGATAAGCCAGGCACGAGGTAAGAACCTGCGTGAAGTGCAAAGCACAGCTGCGAGGGAGCATTTCCCTCAGCACAGGAGAGGCCTTTAACTATTGGAGAAGTAAGGGAGGAGAATTTAGGGCTAAACAGGGAGTCTCTTGCTTTTCTGGCACCCTGGCACTGCCACGTCTGGTGCCCATCCTTCACCCAACCTTTGGAGCACACGTGTGGGCAGAACGAGGTCGGGGCTCGACACGGGGCTCAGTTTGGCCAGCGCTACACCTGGCACCACCGGGATAACTTCTGAGACCAACCTCCCACCACCACCTCCCCAGCCAGACTCTCCATCTCTGCCCAGATTGCTTTGCAGCAAAACCACACAAACCATTAAACCACAGCCTTCTACTTAAAAAAAAAACCCCAAAATGAAAACAGAGGGGTGTTTTCTGCCCACAGAAGCTGAACAAAAAAATTAAAATGGTATCAAGAGCTACAAACTTCACTCTTTAAGACACCCACTGCGGTGAAGCACAACAGTGTTTTAGAAGTCAGTCATGGCACTAGTTTGCAGCCTCTACATTTGATGGTCATCCAGAAAATGAACATATTTCCCCTCCTGGAAACAACAGCTGAAGATCTTTGTTGTTGGGTTTTTTTGCTTCGTGTTGTTTTGTTTTTTTTTTTTTAAACCAGGTTCAGTATGAAGGTAGTTATTTTTGTTCAAGTACTTGAACTAATTGGAAATAGGGAGTTATATTTGTAACTCAGTCTAAGCTCCCCATAGAAAATCCCGATTTCCAAATGAGACCAACAGTAATGAAACAAGAGGCACTGGAAGCACAAGTCTGAAAACAAGCTGGAAGCTCAAGCGAGGAGCCTCATCCAAAGGGACTCCTGCAAGCACGAGAGGACACGTACAAATGACACATTGGTAACAGCAGAATATTGAAATGCCACATGTAGCCTATTCGGGAGGAAGTGAACCTGTATTTCCTCGATAAAACAACAAAATATAAAGCTAACTGCACTGCAAAAATGTCCCTTATTACTTTAATGTACTAGTAGATTGCTTAATGAAAGTTCTTAATTGTAATACAATTAATTACATACACAGAGTCCCCAATTACATTTTCCAATAAGACACTGGCTTTGGTACAGGTCTAAAGGCACTAAACCAATTTTAATATATTAAGACCAATTTCCCTTGAATACTAATTGCTAGCTAATGATAAAATGAGAAAGAGGAACTTTCCAGAAGTAAGATGGTAAAAATAAAACTAAATTAGCCATGAATATTTTGCTACTACACATAAAAGCATTTCACATTACAAAGTGTAGGCTTTTAGTCTAAAGATAAATCTTCGTGCGAGTTGAAAAGTTCTGCATACTGGAAACACTTTATTAGTTTGAATGCTATTAGTAAATGTTGGATAGAGAGGGGTTTTCTCCACACATATTTCTTAATAATGGAAAGTTTTCTGTTTCATTTAATACCCTGAAATATAAACTTTCTATTTGCCCAAAGGAAACTGGCAGCTATTTTACTAGCAGATGTTTGGCATCAGACACATATATATATATTTATAAATGAATATGAGACTACGGAGAGCACATTTAAAAATAATAGCTGTTATAACAGAGCTTTTCCTGACTGGCATATGTAAGCTAAACATATTTAAAATAAAAAGAAAATACACAAAATGAGTATTTCATTTTGATGCTGGGCTTTTCAAGCTATTATTTTACTAATAGTGCAAACCTGTCAATATTTCTATTCTAATGCCACGCCAAAAGATAGCTCCTTAAGCACTACAAAATCCAATTTCATATTATGTATTGGGGGAACCAGGCTATGTCCAATGCATGAATTATGACTGATCTTATATACTGTATTGTCCTTGAACATCTGTGCGTGGAGAGACTTAACGGCATCGGTGTTCCACACGTATCCCCGAGCAGGGACAATGGAAGATGACTTTAAATTCACCCACATGTTGGGGGAGAAACTGTAAGCAGAAGATTCCTCCTGCATTCCTTATTCGAGTGTGCTACCAATTCAGAAAACGTTCAGCAACAGCGCGGCAGAAAAGAGACAGAATTCACGTCAGCACCTATGATTTTGCCTGGATCACTGTCAGCCGTGAGCAAACTAACCCGGTGACTTCCTACAGAGCCCAAGTGCCTGTTCTGCCCTCGCTGTTCCCTGGCTGACAAACACCAGAGCCGTGAAGAGGACCAAGTGCCACCACCTCCTGAGGTGATGCCATCGCAGCGGGGGAGGACGGTGGCTCCAGGTCACACTCTTAGATGGGCGCTGTGGATTTGCTTAATGAGGGCCAGGAGAGCTCAGGAACTGAGAGCACTTTTGCCTCGACAGCCTCAGGGATCTGTCCCATACCTTTCCACCTTCTGTCTGCAGAGCGGTTGGCTCCCGTGTCCCCTTGCCTGGGAGGGGAGAGGAGCAGTCGCTGCACAAGGACTTCAGGGAAAGGGAAAAGTGTTCCCTCAACATTACGACTGACATTTATTTTGAGACGAGGCCTCTGAGGCTCTCCTGCTGATGCAGAGTAGAGTGAATGCCTCCTGCTAAACCACTTACAAACTTACAACAGCTTGACTGTTAAAGTAACGGTGCAACCTGAAGCTAGTCACTCCTGAGAGCAAAGAGCATCAGTAGGTACAGCCACAGCCACAGCATGGATTCCTCCACAGATGACGAAAATACAGATGTTAAAAAGACAGTACATACAGAGCCTGGATAAAAATAAATGTTATTTTTAATCAAAACGTGCAAAACCTATGGAAGTATGACTAGTATGCATCTTTTCATGGATTAAAAATCGATACAAAAGTAATAGCCAGGATGCAGACGTCAGGGAATTCTGGCTTGTGGAAGAGCACAACTTGATTAGCGAGGTTAAAATTGCTCCATTTCCTCATGCCAGCACCCCTGCTACCTTCTGGTGCGTCCTCTCCTACGGTTTCTCAGAACCATTTCATGAAGAAATGAACCAGGAGCATCAAGAGTATTTGGGAGCAAGTCTCACTCTGTGGAGAACGGCAGCCAAAACCCGGAGTGAAGCTCAGCTCCAGGACTGATGTAGCACCAGAGCTCGTGGCGGCTGCGTCTCCCTCTGCGATTCCTTACATGGGAGTCGAGCCTCCTGCTCAGCACTGGGATTAGGAGGCACTTCAGGGATGCTCTGCTGTCATTCCAGGATGAAATATGAAATGCTATAGCCAAAAAGCATAAATGGAAAGGTCTATTCTTTGTAGAGAGAGAAAAAAATTCTTCTACTACTCAAAGCAGGCACTTAGTGTGATTATTTGCAGCAAACACTCCGAGCACAGTCTCAGCTGAGAGCATGAATGCTACTGGCTTCCTCATTAGTACAATTAACATTTTTACAGCTGAATTAAAATTGAATGAAAAAAAACCAACCCAAAACTGAGAGTGTGACTGTTGGAAATAATGAAGGATGGATCAAAATGCAATGGAGGACAAACACAAATCACTGTTAAATGTCTTTTTAAAAAAAGTTTTATATAATTCCTTGTAAAGAAATAAATCAGGAAATAATATTAGGACCATTAAAACAGTAACAGAATAAAAATATTTGAGTGTAGCTGGAGAGAAGATTATTTGCCTAGGACTTTAAAAATCATCATACTGCTCTAGTTATATCTGCATGGTTAGTTTCTTTCATTCTATTAGAGAAAAATCGGTGCCTCCAAGAGCTGTATCGACACGGCAAAATACACCGCAGACCAGTCACTGCATTCACTACACCATGCCTGCAACAGAAAAAGTTGCATATTTGCAGTGTTTTTCAGGGTTGGTCATAACTTTACAGAGCAGAGTTTAACAGAAAAAGATTAATCATGAAGTGATAAACAGGATGCAGACTATTTACTAGAAGGTACGAAATCCATCATTTCCCTCTGGAATATTGTTTTGGCACAACGGAGAAGTGCCTCAGGAAAGAGAGTCTCGTCAAAACGGACTTGCCCAGACAGTACAGCTCGTATTCCAAAATACATAACTTATGTGAGTTTAAGCAATTTACAAGAGCAAAAGTGAAAAGGGGAAACATACTGTTCTCCCGGACAAGGCAGAATTCCAAAGTGCTCTGGCTCTCCAAGGTACAGTCTAAATCTACTGGGACATTAGGTTCACTCTGCTTCTCCAGCCGATACTGAGGACCTGAAACATAAAGTAACTTGTAAAATCATCTGTTTTCTGACAAAGTGATGGCTTATCACGTTCAACTAACATGAGATTACTCGTAGCCTAGAAGCAGGGCAGGGAGATGTTTAGGATTCAAAGCTCTTTGCCAAAGGGAAGAGCCCTACCACAAAAAGGTGGAGGACGGTGTGCAAGAAAACAACATATTCCCGTCATCTTCAGCTGCCAAACCACCTCGACCCAAACTTTCTGTGTTATTCCCACACCAGGTGAGCCTGTGCTAAATGTCCTGCCCATGCTGCTACCTCTGCCAACGGGGCATTTCTCAAAAGGCTGCACTTTGGAAGAAGGGGGTAAGGATTTCCTCAGGCATCAGCAGCAACGGGCACGGCTGGCCGGGCTGACCGCGGACAACGTGCCGTGGGGAGTTTGGCATCGCCTAGCAGCTCAACGGCTGCAAGAGCAGGAAGGGTCATCGAGAGATGGATTTTATCTTTTTCCAGAGATCTGTTAACATCAAACTGCATCAAACATGAGCATGTAAAGTTGCTGTTGCTTAGAATGAATTATTCTCATATATGCTGCATTTAACTGTAGATCTTCAGGATTCAGCTGCCAACTTTCTTCTTCTCAAACCAAATTGTCGAAGGAAAGATGATACTACTTAAAAAAACCTGTTTCCCAACTACAGAAAATGTATTTAAAAATTGTTTTTACAAAAATTAGGCCACTTTAAAAAAAAATTGTGGTTGAATGAATCCTTAAACTCTATGCCTTAAATAGAATAAAAAACCCCCACACTAATACAACTCCAGGTGAAACCCCTGTAAGCCAGCCCCAGACCTGCTGTCCCAACAGGGAGAGGGACCCGATGGGGTGCGAGGGGTGACTCAGGGAAGCCCAGCTCCACATGGGACCCTGGGCAGAAGAAAAGCCACGTCCAAAGGCGGGTGCTGGTGGAGGCTGAGGTGCTCCTGTCCCCACTGTGTCCCCACACAGCACAGGGCGGGTCTCCCCTCCCACTCACACCCCAGAGCTGAAGTGCACACCAAGCTCTCAGCTGGGTAATTTCTGTATCATCTGGTAAAATAACGCTAAACAGATACTTGAAAAAAAAATCTAAGGGATGTAAGGGACCTTTACCAGATCTTAATGTAACAAAATAACTAGAACTGAAATAACAAAATTGACTCCCTCTTTACCAGTACTTAAAATATTTCTGAATGTTTCCTGACTTTGAATTATGATAATATATGATGAAATATTTAAAACATACAAAAATGTAAGTATTTTACCCTCAGATGGCACACGTAAGAAATGGAATTTGTTAGCCAATGAATTTTGCATTTACTACAGCAGATTTGCAACTACGGCTTCTCGTTTTGTCTCCCCAGAAGCCCCGCGAAGCGTTCAGCACATGGCCCGGGCGCGTTCTGCTCCCCAAGTGGAACGTTATTCCTCTGTAAAATGGAGCCCCCGTATTCCCGGTGCCCCTCGGAGCAGACACAGCGATTTCCCGGCCACAGGAGGGGAGCACAAGGGCTCCCTCCCTGCCCAGTGCAATCAGCACACGCAGCTGCTCGAACGAAGCATCTACAGAACAAACCGCGCAGCAGAGACGTCTCGTACCCGCACAAAGGCAGATAGATACAGCACCATTGTTCCTCTTCTCCCAGCTACTGGAAATGTGATTAAAAATTTTAAATTAATTAAATAAACAGGGGCCTGGCTTGTTAGGCAGAAGTAAAACATATCGAATTGAAACAAATATCAAAGTGGCAAATCAATTCGTGTTTAAAAACTGGTGCCTCCTCCCAGAGATTCTCAACGCTGAACGACACCCACCCACGACAGAGCCAGAAGAACTGTTGGTTCCCATCTGAATGTCTTTGGTACCTGCTACCAAAACCCAAACTCCAAGGGCACTCCTAACAAAGTGATGAAACAGAGCTCCAGACCAGGAACCGAGGCAACCTTCCACACGAACAACTTCTTTAAACCAGAAAAAACTAGGAAATTCATAAAAGGCGTAAATGGATTTTTAGACAGCATCTACCCTTGTCTGCTCTTAAATAAGATCTTTTAAATATCTGTACACATTTACTTGACCCCTGCTTCACAACAGATGAAAAATGTCAGGCTGATTCTGCAGAAGAGTTTTACTACCAGACTTCTCTCACGAGTTCAGATGATGTCATTGTAGGCAAAATATTAATGGTCTCCTAACAGAATACTGCTCTGGGAATTTCAACAACATTTCAAGTGGTAATACCAAAGCTGGATTTTATGGATTTCTGTAATCTGATGCAAATGCTCCGCACAGTTGTAAAATAAACCTTTACAATCCTGGCACAGAGTGGTCCTGGCCCGCGACCCGGGCCGAGCTCCCACGCCAGCAGCAGGGACCGTGGCTCCAGCACAGCCCGCATCCAGTGGCACTGGGCTGGGGCTCCGCACCCCGCTGCTCGCTGTGTAAATCATCGGTACCACGTTCCATCACCACGCTGGGAGTGAGGACGTTAAGATGGGAGTTACCAGGGCAGAACACCCAGAAGACAAAGCTAATGAACATGAATCCCTGTTCTAGTTCTGTAAGTTCCACACAAATACTTGGCACGAGGGACACTGTTAGTAGGTTAAAGCGAGCAGGGCTGGAGGAACAAGTGTCTGTGTGTCTGGAGAGGAAGGAGGGAACCAAGGCAGCAGCCTGAAACGATCCATAAAATGGTGAAAGAGAAGTGATTACACCTTCAAGCAAACTCTTTTTGTTCAAAAACTAGCAGAGATTTGTTTGGGGCCCCAGGGCACCTCAGGCCCCTGGAGCTGGGTCTGCTCTCCACCAGACCTGGTGGCCTCAGGCACTGGCTCTCCTCCCTTCTTGGGCCATGCTACTGGTGCAGTGTCCCACATGCAGGAGCGAATGCCTAAACCACATACTACAAATACAATGAAATCTTTATCTTCTAGACTTGTTTTGGTGCACTGACAGACCAGCAGCTGTGGAGGAGCAGAGCTAACCCTGACAGACAGACAGATGGAGCTGCTCGCTCCCAGATCCACGCTCTGCAACCTGGAGCTGAGGTGATGCTCTGTCAGGCATGTCCCTTCCACTAACATCCCATCCCCACCAAACCACCCACGCCGTGGTTTCTGCCCACAGATATCCATTGCACTTGGTTATTTCAAGATACTCCTTTAACAGAGGAACATTTATCAGGAGTTAAAAACAAGCAAGGAAACATCTCCCAGTACTACATCCACATCCTTCCCACGGCCAACACAGAGGTGCCCCAGGAAGAATCCCACCCCATAATCAAATTAAGCCACTCTCTTACAAAAGGCAATGGCCATCCACATAACAACAAACCAATTCTGTTGCCATTTAAGCTGCAAAGCCTTCAGAATAGGGTTTTGAAAGCCTGACCCATCAGTTCTAATTTTTAAAACTTATCCTTTCAGTCAAGACTAGAAAAAGGCCCATTCCAACTTTTATCTTCACTACAAAGTGCTGTTATCTTGGGCTGATGTCAGGAGCTCTATCTCTCTTTCTGCTGACAAGCAGAGACGAGAGAGATAAGATTGGGAACGAATCTCACTTCTCTGAGTAAATAAATAATCAATACTCATCTAAATGTAAATGAGAAAGTATCCCCCTCTGATAACAGGGCTCTTATCAAACAGCCAATTTTCTACAGACATTTGGCCTCAACCAAATCACCATCATTCAGCCCCAGCCTAATGGGTAAAAATCGTAACTAAATTGAACCGATCACCAGAGATCAACTAAGTTCAGCCATGGCTACTACAGGTTCAAATGTTTGGAATGCAATTTTTCCCCCATTAACTTTCAATAGCAATAAAGAATACCACGGTCAGGGGTTGAATCTGCACAATAAACAAACACTAACACTTAAGAAGAGAAAGAGGCTTTAAACAAAACCCCAAACAAAACCCACCTCCACCTGCAAACTAGTTAATAGAATAAAATGAGGATTATAGGAAGACTTACCTTAATATTTAATGTTTGTGGAGTTGTCAAACCTAAACTAAAGAGACCAGTATAAACAAAAAACCCCAAAAGGTCTAAAAGGGAACCTGTGTTTTTACGGTGTCAGGCTCCACAACAGAACACATCCCTACGTCCTGTTTCTCCCTTAGCTTTACCTCCCTCTCATGAGCTCCTGTAATTCCCACAAAAGCCTCAGATCCAGTTCCACTCGCCGTCAGCTCCTTCTGCTCCCTTTATGGCCCACGCGTTCGTTCAAAACGCTTTCAAATTTCTGATTTCCAGAACACTGAACTCCAAAATTTATGGCATTGTGTGACAGGAAGAATTCCTTTTTGTTTCAAAAAGCCTTCGCCTACTCACCGCTTTTGGGGGATGTGGTTCTTGTCTTACCACCAAGTGTGATAAAACCCTCCCAATTCACTGTCTCTCCCACATGCACTTCCTAGACTTGTACCCAGTCAGGTCTTTCCCAGACTAGAAAAGATCTTCTTCTCTCTTTACATCGTCTCCTCGTTTCACATGTTGGATCCATTTTTGCACTCTTCCATTTCTGTACCTTTTTAACTTCTATATTATCCATTTTAGGATGAAATGCCTCAATTAAGATGTGAGCACACCGTGATTTACGGACTGGCACAATAACACTTTCTGTTTTGTTCTCTGCTCCTTTACCATTTCTGATGTTCCATTTGCCTTTCTGATGGCTTCTAAGCACGGAGCTGAAGTGTTCAGAGAACTACCCATGACGACTCCAGGATACTTTTCTTGACTGATGGAAGGTAATTAGAGCCCATCATTGTATACATATAGTTACGGTTGCTTTTCACTATGTATATTATTTTGCACTCATTGACACTGAATTCTCTCTCTCGTTTTATTGTCCTGTCACTCAGCATTGTGCGATACCTCTGCCGTGCTTCACAGACAGCTTTTATTTGCACTGTTCTTCCTTCTTTTGTATCAACAGCACATTTTGTCACATCAGCATTCACAGCCTTTTCCATGCCCC